TTTTAAAACTAATTTAACAATTGTTATATGTACTGTAATCATTTTGTTATAAAAATTTAGTAAAGTTAGATATTTAAATAGGCTATTACAGTCATCATACGGCTAAACTGTTAGTACTACACTAGATGATTAAAATTATAAGATTATCTGGTTACAATAACAATATAATGTTGTCACACATTATTAACAATGTGTCGTTGTAGTTTTTACTATACAGAAAGTTTATACATACCATACGTATAGTATATTTAACCATATAGAGGGTTATAATGTACTTGTAACCCTACGCATTTGATTACACTGTGCAACACCAAAAATCAAACCGCACCGGACTATTTTTTTTTTGAAAATATACCTATCCAATAGCAAAACCCTCGCTGTGTTTGTAAAACTGAGCTTGATTTAGTTTTTTATGGCCGTTTGTATTTTCTAGCTTCATATACCCCAATTTAGACCTATTAATCGATTTTTTTCGCATATATTAGAATTATATCGTCAAGATTTTTTGTGGAAATGTAGTTACTGAACAAATAAACCCATTTAATGAACAACCTATATCCCAAAACCCAATTTTTGGGACCAAATATTCGAAAAATTATTTTTTTTCTTCAATTTTTCGATAATATTTAAAATTTTATGCTACTTCTTCTGGCAAAAATGTTGTAAAGTATACTAAAAGAAGTAATTTATAAAATACGCATACAAAACTGAACTTTAACTTATTTGCTGGAAAACAATTTTTAAACAAGATTTTCCAAAATATTCATCTTTTCATACTCAACACCAAATTTTTTGCCGAAATCTTTGAAAAATCTGTAGGAAAAAATTGAATAGATAAAATAGAATTGTCCGAATATCAGGACCATTTAAAACGCTTGAAATGAAATGAATATAAAAAATATATGAAATGAAGGGATGGAATTCTCCAGTGATGAATTAAAAAATGAAAATGAAGAATAAGAATATAAAGGAAAAGAAGTGGAAGGGATGAAATTCTCCAGCAATGAATCAGATTACTCAATGTTTTGATATAAAAAAGTTTTTTAATAATAAAATTAATACAAAATAAAAAATCAAACTCTTTGTACTTTTCTACAATTCTATTTTATCTATTCAATTTTTTCCTACAGATTTTTCGGCAAAATATTTGGTGTTGAGTGTGAAAAGATGAATATTTTGGAAAATCTTGTTTAAAGATTATTTTCCAGCAAATAAGCAAACTTAAAGTTCAGTTTTGTGTGCGTATTTTATAAATTACTTCTTTAAGTATACTTTACAACATTTTTGCCAGAAGAAGTGGCAAGAAATTTTAAATATTATCAAAAAAATTAAAAAAAAAATATTTTCGAATATTTGGTCCCATTTATAGGTCTAAATTGGGGTATATAAAGCTCGAAAATACATATCGCATTATTATATAGCTGTCTAAAAACGAACTTAATAGTATATCGCTTGCTCTTGATTTAAGCTAATATTGTAATTATGTAAAGATAGTTTCTGATTTAGATCAAGAAACATTTAAAAGCGCAAATCTTTTGAATCAAAGTGATTTTCAATTCTTTTAAGAGATTATTTTTTCATTGCAGAAATTAAAATATCCCAAATATAAGTAATAAAAATTATGTTATAAAATAAAAAATATAATAATTAAATTATTTTAAAACAAATTGAAACATGTTGTGGTGTAAAAACTCGCCCAAAATAAATCACTTCAAATAAAATTTTAATTACAAGACTCACTAATTAATACTAATTAGGCAGGGCGCCTAATGCAGAGAATTCGGTATTTTTAATAAAAACCTAATTTAAATCGGACCTCCCCTGTGAACGGGAGCGACTTTTTTCGACTATTTGGATTCCAACCCCTCGAAAGAAATGGGGTTTTATTAGGCCGTAATAATATCTCGTGAGACGAAAATTGATTGGCGGACCACCCGGACGGACCTTGTTACGTAACCCGTTCAAATATTTAGACGTCGAGAAAAAATCGAATGATACGTAATTAGGGTCTTTTGTTTTAATTAATTTGATATTATAACCGTGATTAAGTGCGTTACAAAGACGTATTTGCTTTTTTATTGCCTTAATGACTCCATCTAGCCGTACACGTAAAAAACACGGTTATTTTTTGTAAGTACGTTTGTTTGATTTTCTCGATAGGCCCTAATTAAATTTAATCATCGGCGTACAGGAATTTCCGTGCTATCGACTTATTTATCGGGACACATGATGGATTTTTGTGTACGAAATTGTTATGGCCGGCGATATGTATCGAGAAATGATGAACAGCTTGGCGTTCGAGGTGTTAAACTTAACAGATTTGTTTAGCAAATGGGTTAATACCTCACGGATCGATGAAGAAGGTGGGACAAACTTATTATTGACAGCTTTCGATCGAACATGTCGAACAACCAATTAATTATAACTGGGAAAATAAAGTAAAACGTGGAGACCCCGATACCCGAAACACAACGAACCCGATTAGTTAAAATCCAGATTTGAAAGTTTAATTTTCATAATACCTAAACAGTAAAAAAATATTTGTTACTTTTAATCATATATTAATTAGTTAAATAAGTAATTTGTAATTATAACAAGCATTTTTTAGATACACACACACCTTTTTGTAAGACAAGTATTAGTTGGAAATTGAGAACTTAAATAAAAAGAATATTTATAAAAAATGTTGCTTTATTAATCAATTCCTAAACAAAAAAATAAAACATACCTACATAAATAAACACAAAAATAACAAACAATTAAATAACACACCATTCTAAAATCATCAAATTATAATGAAATTAGGTACAATATAATTATTAGTACTACTACAACATTATACATCAGGTATTTTGTAATATTTGTATTTTGGATACTTCGCAATTCGCACACTCGTTAAATAGGTATAATTATACCTATAATTATAATTATAATGAATCCGAATTACAATATTAGGATGAATCTCACGAAATCTCAAATATCTGAGGTAGTAAAAGCATACTAAAAATATCAGTTCACCAAGTAAATTAAACACATCCAAAGCAACCGAATCAAATATAAAATATTATTAAAAATTAAAAGAAATAATTTTTATAACCATTTATGTATTTGATACAAAAATTGATTCTATCCTCCGTGAATCTGTTTTTTCTTTAAATTTTATGCAAAGGATGGCGCTTTAATCATTTTAAATAAGCAAAAACCTCTGTTTACGACATTATAGTTGCATGTGATTCCTGAAGGTCAGTTAGAATTTATATGCAGATGAGAGTGTTGCTGTTTTATAATTCAAAAGTTTAAATTCATTAATTTGTTATTTAAAACCTATTCACCATACAGTGTAATATCTCATTAAGTAGATTTTTTTTTATAAATATTTTGTTTTAAAAATATTAAGATGTCAAAAGATACAATAACTTATTTCAAATATACAAAGAGATGTTTAAAAAAAACATACGAAATTCTAACCTCCGTGAAGCTATCTTCCGTGAAGCTCTAATATTCAAAATGTATGATTTTTTAAAATTCTTGCATTAGTGCAGAACCACTTATGTTATGTTATTACTAGACCTGGAGGCTTCCCAAAAACCCCATTCTGGAGTAACAGTAAAACAACCAAAAATAAAAATAATCATTTTCACTTGGTGTACATCTCAATATATTCACCCAATAACAGATCACGTGACTTTTTTATGCTTTTAAGGGGGCTAAATTTACTTTTGATATTATTTTTTTTTAATTATTTGGTATTAAGGGTCTAGCCAAATAATATAAAATGAATTTTTTCAATATTTGTGTTTTTTATGTTTCATATTTCCTATAGGTACAATTTGTCTCCCCGAATTGTGAACGGCAAAATTTAATCGTGTAATATGGGCTTTGCATCAGTGTTGTCGGTAGTTGTCAAACTTGATAATAGTTGTCAATTGCAATATTAAAAATGCCACCCCACTTAACTGAGGCTCAGAGGTCCAAGGCAATAGCCAAATTAGAAGAAAATTGGTATTTAAGTGAAGTGGCTGCAGATTTAAATGTCAGTAAAAGCTGCATATTTTATATCAAGAAACCTTGGCAAGAACAACAGAGAGACCTATCAGACAAGGTGTAGGTAAAATCTTCAACGAAAATGAAGACAATGCTCTTGTCGCACATATTAGCCAAAATCCTTTCAATAGCGCAATTAAGGCCCGAGAAGATACACAATTTCCAGGATCTCTTCAAACAGCTCAAAAAAAGATTAAAACAAGCTGGCTTAAAAAACTGAGCTGCTGCTCATAAGGTTTTTTTTAACTGACGAAAATATGCACAGAAGAGTCGCCAATGACTATCTAAATTATGGAATAATGTTATATTTTCTTATGAAAAAACGTTCCAATCTTGCAATAATGTTGTCTAGTGACGCAAGATTTGAGGAGAACTACACATTCAAATAGTGGACGCTTTTCCATAAATGTTTGGGCGTGGATAAGCGTCCATGGTGCGGGAATATATTGGGAAATTGATGGTAGATTAACGGCTGAGCACTTTGAGACGATTTTGAACCACGTTATGCTACCTTCAGTTAGACATGTGTTTCCAGAAACAACAACCACATAACTGTTTTGCTAGGAGTCCCGACTTAAACCCCATTAAAAACGTGGAGGGTTTTATAGTTAAAATTTATATTAACAGGACTTTAGGCCAGCAAACCAAAATTAACTACGGAATGCTGTTGAATATTCTTCGGAAGACATTTAAATCTGCAGCTATTTCGCTTAAAGACCAATTTTCTTGTGCAATATGTTATTTTTATTTTTTATTTACCTACTTGTTAATATTGTTGTACAAAACCAAAATAAAGTTAATTTATTTATAATATTGTTTATATTATTTTTTGTTAAAATATTCAAAAAAATAGAACGATTTATGATATTTTTTCTTAATTTTTGTACGGTTGTCAACGTGTGTAGCTGCGACAGTATCATAACCTATCCCAAAATTGTTGTCAAAAATGAAAAGACATGGGTAAATGGAACAAAGGTAAAAGAAAGCAACAAACTCCCAGTCAGTCGCAAATATCTTCGCGATCGCCATCTCCGAGTCGGTACTCAGCTTCGGCCGTGCCTCAGCACTACGCGAACGCGAACATCGAGAGAATCCTGCAGCTGGCGCAAATAAACGCGAACGAAGTCGTTATAGACGCTCGCAAGGAACGCACCAAGAAACTGAAAACGGCGCACGCCGAAGCCGATAAAGACGTGCTAAAGCACAGAAACGAGAAAGATAAGGAGTTTCTTAAAATTGAGGAAGAGTTAGAGGACAAGATGGAGATGATCACCAAGAAAATAGATGGTGAAACTAACGCGCAAATCGACGTACTAGCCGGAAGTGCGAATCAGAAGAAAATAGACTTGGTCAAACAGCTTGTCAGAATGGTTTGCAATATTAAACCATCAGTACACCCAAACTTTTTGCTAATGAAGTCGGCAAATGCCCTTGATAATTAAGTTCATGCTATCAATTTATGAAATTTGTATTCGTACTTAATAAACTTAAACAAATTAGTGTTTATACTTAACAACACTGTCATAAAAATCAGGTTACGGATCATTTTGTTAAAGTTTAAGAAATTATTTCGTTGAAAAAGTAGTAGTCATTTCAGGCAGTCAACCAAAACATGACAATATGCATCAACAAGTCAACTGACTTTAGCGTCTGCACTTTATGTTTCTGCTAACTTTATTCCAATTCGTAACGTGTTCGTAACAACTGAGTGTTTATTACCAGAAATCTGTTATTAACAAATATTTTTTTAATTTGTATTTGAGGCCTGTCAGAGCAAAGTCAACAATCTCTCATCAGACTAAAACTGAGTAAATTGAGATAATGGATTTTGGTATTTTAAATTTTAGATTTTTAATTTTTTTATACATTATATTGAAATGTTGTTGTTAGTCTAGTAGCCAACTACAAGGTCTCCAGGATGCATAGTATAGGTAAAATCTATAATAATAAATTGGAGATTGCTGACTTTGATATGAAATGCTGGCGATTGCTCATTTTGTTGTAAACGTTTAAGGAGATTTAGAAAAATAAACAAAAAAATAATTTTTTTTATTCCTTTAATGGGTAAAAAATTTAACTATACAATCAATGTGGGAAAATTCTGAACTGGACCACATAAATCTGGAGTTTCTTCTAAATCTGGGACCAGGTTGCCTCGTGCAAAAAACTTTTTATAGTATAACAACTCATCATCTTCTTCCCAATTTGCCCCCTAATGTTTTACTTGCAATGTTTTGACATTATTAGCCTTTTCTTGCTTTACCTTTACGTCTTATTATGATATAATAGCACAAAATAAACAAGATAACTTTTTTTTATAATTCTTTAAACAATAAAACGTATATATACCTATTTTAAATATATTTTTAAGTGCCATTTACTGCAATAGAACTTAAAGTATGTACCAGTAAAAAAACACAAAATTAAATCTCTAAAATACGTTATAACATTAATTATAAATGTTAGGATATCAGGTGACACAAATTACTAATTTCTAATGGTGGAATGGGAGATTGTATACTTTGCTGCAAATCTATCAGTGGAGATTGTCGACTTTGCACTATATGTCATTTTTAAAATAGGATTTAGCTCCTTTTGCAGCACATAAACTTTATCATCTTATAGATAATTAGTTGAAGTACAGTCTCCGCCAAAAATCTAATTTTTGACCAAAAGTGGAGATTGTCGGTTTTGCTATGACAGGCCTCATTTGTAAACTTTGCGTCACAACCAAAAATCTCAAAGGAAAAAGAGCGAAAAATGTATTCATCAGGCGGCAACATGCTTCATCCGGCCTTGGATGGTTTTTCACAAAATTCATTTGTACTGGACATCAGTCAATTTCATATTGTAAATTAATCCTACGTTCAAAAAATTCATCTGCCTATGTGGGTGTATTTCTACAGGCTTTTCACGACTTGAACTTGGAATTTGCATGATTAATTGGTATTTCAACGACAGGCTAGTATTTATTAATTTTTAATCATTTCACCAATTAAATTCACAATTACTATCATAAGTGGTTTAACTTGAAGGTATTAGTAAAATTTGTAAAAATATTGAATGCAACTAAGTTGAGTACCACATTCTGTACTCTAATATAAAAACCTTTATGCAACATTCAGAAATAAAATCCACCTCTGTCTTCCGAAAAATTAAAAACCACCCACGTAAAGCAGAGCTCAGTAGTGAGGAACAGTCTTGTTCACTAATTACACGACGATTAAGATTAAAATCAAATTTAATACCTACTCATATGCGCAGCGATTTTTTAAATGTTTATTGTTCATAAATAGTATTTCATTTGAATAATAGCCCACCAATATGGTGATGATGTAACCATTAAATATATTTATTAGGTTACTAAATGGGTTGTGATTTACACCGCGGTCCAAGATCTACATGGGTTCTTTTTACGGAACTAGTTTTTTGGTAAAGTGATATTTCTTCTATAAAAACTTTTTAATTTTATCAAAACCCCATAAAAAGTATTTTAATAAAAACTATAACTAGGTATATTTAATATTCATTTATTTCAAGGTCTAACTTTTTCAGTTTATTATTGTTTTTCATTATTCTACAAATACCAAGTGATTTAGTTGAGCGTTCAGTGAAGTATCTGTTTCTTAACCCCAGTAGCACAAAGATATTGGCCCATTGACATTATACAACCGATATTGAAAATCCGTATTGGCCCGAATTGAAAGAAAAAAAAGATAGCCACCTATAGAAATCCTACTACGTAGTAAGTACTATAGTACTTACTAAGTAGTAGGATTTCTAAAAGTGATATGTCACGATCGTGTCGACAAACGTTTGTTTTCAGGAAATGTTTATAGAAGGTATACCTATAGGAAGGGGCGTAGAAGCAGGGGGGCGGATGACAATACCCACCCAAATAATAAGGGGGGTTACTTGATATAAAATGTACCCTCCAAATTCTTTGAAAAAATCTACCAATAAGACAAGTCGTGTACCGTCTATGTTATTCTTAATTACGATGAAATGCTAAAATCGTTTGTATCGTGTGCTAAAATGATCAGCTTGAGCTTTATTATCGTAATAACGAATTTTATTGCTAATAATACAAGCCTTTATTATTTCCACCCTTTTGGTGCCATCACAAAATTTAGAAGACTTGAAAAATCAAATTCGGGAAGAATATCGCTTTATTAGTGCGAAAGTCATCCAAGACATTCTCAGAGAATTTAAATATATATAATTTAGGGGGAATTGCCTTCAAGGGGCATCGATTATCAAACTTGATTTTAATTGGCCATAAACTATTAACGTATTTCGCTTAAGTACTAATTAATATCTGCATTAAATAGTTTTTTAATTAACTACATGTACTTCGTTTTGATAACATAAATAATGATGACATTTATTGATTGCGATATAATTTGGGTAATAAATAAAAAATGAACTGATTTAAAATAAATTGTGTTGGGAATTGTGGAAATTTAAAAAAATTGAAAAATAATATTGTTATGTTATATTTGGGTCGTTTTCAAAAAACACCTGCCTTCCGCTGTCCGTAAGTTTGAATTCCAATAACTTTGTTAAAAATTATCGGATCTTATTGATTTAAAAACCAAGTGAAAGCCTAACAAGCCCTTAGTAAACTCTTTCAGAAAATTTTTGTTTAGTTATTTCAGAATAATTTTTTTTAATTTAGAAACTTGTGAAACACACATTTTCGCATGTCCCATTAGCGTTTTATAAAACTTAAATACATGTTTTTTTTAATATTGAATAACCAGAACTTTGTGTTGCTTTATAGCAATCCATAACATCCTTAGTTAATACAGTAAACAATTTATGTATAAAATAATTAATTTTAATCTACTTTTTTTAAATTTGACTCATGTCCCAGACATTTTTTCCGTTGCGTTACGTCCGTCGCGTTACCGATAGAATATTAAAAAAACATATATATGGGAACGTACACATTACCCAGCTGAATTCAGGAAGAAGATATCGGTTGAAACAGGTGCGGGTAACGCGAATGTAATAATTGTTTGTTACTAAAAAAAATAATAAAAATAAGGTAAGAAAAAATACTATTTTTCATGTTTATGTTTATTTTAAGGCACTAAAGCTCATTGAGAGTAATTAATGATTATAATGTCTTATTATTATTTTTTAAATATAGTTTTACAAAACTTTGTCCACTGCGTTACCGAGTCCACTATGTTACCTTATGGTAACGCAATGAAATTTAGGGTAACGCAATAGAATTTTTCGACAACAAAGTGGATATTTACCGTCGCTTTTATTAAGAGTAGTTTATGATTAACCAATTTAAAATTATTTGTAATTACAACTCATGATATAGATTACATCCAAGGAAAAATTCCACGCAATATAAAAGTACTAAAAGGGACCTTCACCAGCTTATAGTCAAAGAAAAAGGGTGTCTACAATTTAGAAATCTAAGTTGTTATTCTGCAAGTGAGCACCACTACAACGGATTTTGTTTATGCATTACTTTAAAATCGTACCACCCTATATAGTTTCTTTTTTACGTTATCTGATTAAGTCCGTTGTGATACCAATGTCTATTTCGTTACTTTTTTTAGTTTTTGTTAAAAAAAAAATACTTAAAATGATTTTTATACACTATCACTTGGTAATACGTGTTTATAAATTAGAGTTTAATTCACTAATACAGTGACTAAAAGAAAATATTAATGTTATTGTTTTTTTAACAAAGAATCGGAATGGTTTCTTTTAAAAAGTAACTTAACGAACATACATATTTAAAAAAAAGCATACAATTTTTAATTAAAAATAAAATAAAAAATTGGAACAACTTTTTTTATTGAATTAAATTTTGGATTTCAAATTGGTAACACAGTGGAGATATATAAAGCTAGCTAAACACATTTATCTGAAAAAAAACGTAAAAAAAATTAAAAAGTGCACTGCCTGTCTTAAATGTAAGTAAACAAAACTCTAAACATTTATAAAAATCCAACCAAAAGTCAATTTAAGCAAAAAAAAATATTTTGATCTTCATTTTCAATATAATGTAACTAAAAGACTAACTAAATTTTAAAACTAAAATAGTTTATTGTAAATAATCTACAACAATTGATTGAAGGCTGATTATGAGACATCGATGCAAGAACACAGCATGACAAATTTACATACAAATTGTTGAAAGTTGCTTTATTACTGTTCTCGCAGCCTTATAAACTTTTTATTTTAATTTTATTTATGACTTTATTACTTCAAAATGCCGGATTAATAAGCGGGTAAGCTTGTACGTCGAATTAAATACGGCACCGAGGCAAAGGCAAATAATAAACTGCATGGTAATCGGCAATTTTCGATTACGATCATAATAAATATCGTCACTGAAATAATATTGATTGGACAGGGGCATTAAAATTCGTAGCGGTGAATTATGCAACCCGAAAATATGGTAATTTTTTAA